GCATAACCAAGTTAAAAAGTGTGAAAAGTGCTGCGAACCTATATAGATTTTCCTTTTGTAATTGCTAAAATTTCATTTGTTGGACGGCAGGTTGAATATTTTGCTGGTCAACTACATTAAATATAGCTATAATTAATTTATTTGCAAGATTTCAAGAGGTTCGCAGCACTTTTCAAATATCTTAATGCTTCTTGAGTTTATGTGTAAAATTTTGACAAGATACATTGAGGGTATGCCCTTGCAATAAATCGATTTACTAGGGCCCTTCCATTACTCTTTCAATGAATCTGCATACAAACACACGACAGTATCGCTTGTCTGGAGAATGCACGTACAGTTTATAAATAAAATACTAAAATAGACATCGCATCCAAGTTAAAGGCTTCTTATTTTACTGCAAATAATATTTTATTTGAGAACAAAAGACAATTTTCATTGTACAAAATGTGACTTGATCAGCCTCTCACTGTGTACAAATTGCGTCATTTTTGCTAGATGACGTCACATTGACAAGTGCATTGCGATCGATGCATCGTTTATATACTGTTGTTTGGGATTTAACAAACGACAAAACTGCATGTAATAGTAAGATTGTATGTAGTATACAGCTATCCAGCTGTTGGAAATAGCAAATAAATTCATTTTGTGGTATTTTAAAGACCTTATATTATGTGTGACGTCATAGTAAACATTTCCCGTACAAATTAGGCCCCGCCTCCTTACTGTAACCTTAACTGTGCTGAGAAGTACATTATTTCTTTGAAAATCTTTTTCTCTGCTCTTGTTATAAAACAAACAAAGAACATAGTTATGATGACCAAGAGTGCCTCTTCTATAATTTTGAATTTCATTGCCCTTGGGTCAGGGGTTCTGGTTTAAGGGCGGTGCTATATAGATCATATAGTGGAAGTGCATTCTTTGAAAATCTTCCTCTCTGCTTCTGGGTATTAAACAAACTAAATAAGTACATAGTTATAATGATCAAGGATGCCTCTTCCAAAATTGTGAATTTCATAGCCTCTGGGTCAGGGGTTCTGGTGTAAGGAGGGTATTATTGATTATATAGTTAAAAAACATTAATTCTTTCAAAATCTTTCTCTCTGATTTTGAGTATTAAACAAACTAATTATATAGTAATGATGACCAAGAGTGCCTTTTCACAACTGTGAATTTCATAGCCTCTACTTCAGGGGTTTTGTTGTAGTTGGGGGGTGGGTCTTTTGATTATTAACTGAAATAACTTTTATTCTTTGAAAGTCTTTTTCACTGCTCTTCAATAGGGGGCCTAATATTGATCCCTGTGGCACTCCTGCTGTGACAGGTAAGACATCAGAAGAAGTTGTACCAATTTTTACACATTGTGTCCTGTTATACAGATATGAGTGAAACCATTTAATTGACAATTCATCAAAGTTGTAATTCTTTAATTTTTCTATCAGAATTTCATGACTCACTAAATCAAACGCTTTGCTAAAATCCAAAAATGTTATACCTATTAGATTACCTTCATCCATAGCATGCAACCAAGCATCTGTTAATTTGGTTAGTGTTGTTTGACAAGAGTGAAATTCTCTGAATCCAGATTGAGATTTTGTTATAAAATCAAAAGAGGAGGTAAAATACCGTATTTGGTTTGCTATGTGCTTTTCAATTATTTTGGATAATGTTGGAAGTATAGAAATGGGACAGTAGTTATTGGGGTCTGTTTTGCTGCCCTTTTTATATACAGGGGTGACTTTTGTTTCAACTTTGATGGAAAACTGCCATTCCTGATACTAGCATTTATTAAATGAGTTAATGATTTACTAATAATACTAGCTGATAGTTTTAGAAGACGAGGTCCAATGAAGTCAATGCCTGCAGATTTATTGACATCTAGCCCGTTTAATGAATCAAATACTTCAGTTTCACTAATTGGTGTAAGGCTAAAAAAGTTGTCATTACCAAGTTTAGATTTCGTGAATTGTCTTAACAATTCTGGATCGAATTTGTAGTTTGGTAGATTATGTAAAAGTTTAATTGAAATCCCTGTAAAATGCTCATTAAAAATATAAGCAATATCTTGTGAATTTTTAGTTTCTGAATCATTATGAATTATATGGGAAGGGGTTAAGGTTTTAGATTTAGATGACAATTGATTAAGATTTCCCCACATCTCTCTTTGATATGAACTGTCTTCGATGGCTGATTTGTAATACAAAGATTTTGCATTGTCTATTAATAGTACAATTTATTTCTCCATGTTTGGAAATTATCATAATCCCCATTACGGTGGTATAAATCTCGTAAATGCCTAGCTTCGTTTATTTCTTTAGTTAGCCACTTTGGTCTAGTTTCACTTTTAACTCTCTTACATTTTATTTTGGCATGTTTGACAAGGACATTATTAAACATGGACAATTGTTACTTTGTTTATGGAGGAAATGCTTTTTTAAACTGAATAGCCAGTTATAATTATAACTTTAAGAGGGCTAAGGCTTCGTAATGAACGTTAGACAGAAAACTGTCTGCGGGACGTTAACAAAATGGTGGTGGTAGAGTACTGATATGGAAAACGTTCTTACATAAAAGTAAGACTAATCTGGTTCGTATTCAAATGATTTGTATAGGAAAAGGAAGGTACTCTTACGATGTTCTACCTACACATTGCTATTCAATTTTTTGGCATTCTAGAGCTGTAGTGCAATCTGACAATACACAACAACATAAGGCTTGTTTCATTCTCCCATTTTTGCACAGCATAAAAAATCTGAGTCTGCCATAGTCATTTATAACACCAGATTTAACCCCAATTGAGCAGCATTGGACAAAATCGAAAGACATGATTTTTCAAAGACAATCGCATCCTCAGACTCTACAACAGCTGTTAAAAAATCTACATTTGGAGCAGGAGAGTTTTCCTATAAAGTTTTTATTACACACATTTGCTTCCATTAGATGCTATTTTGGCTATCAAATGTGTCTGTGGGGGACATACCAGATATTGATCTTTTATTAGCTAAAACTGTCTAGGATTTTAAAACTCTTGAGTAATTATGACATTTAGTAAGTATTCCCATTTAAAACCACATTTCTGTATTATCAATACATAATTTATTTTTAAATATTTTTTTATGTTCAATGTGTCACTAAAATTCTACTATGCGTTTCTTTTTTAAGAGTATATTATATACAGGTACATGAAATTGTAACGGATTCTCTTTTCCTCTTTTTTTCTCTCTGTCTCTTTCACTCTTCCTGTACCAAAATCGACGAAGGGGAGTGGGGGGTGGGTTGGGGTGGGGTAAAATAAACATTCAAAAAAATATTTTCTTTCCATCAATTAACAAGAACATTGATATCTTTCTTCGAACCTTTAATTTCGGAGTATAATCGTATTGTATTTTGTACATGAAATATATGGAGATAAGGAATAGTATTCAAACGCAGACCTCCAAAACATCAGAAGTTGAATCATGTTCAAAGAAGAAGAAAGCATCCCCTGCCGACTGGGGACACTCGCTGTGTGTTCTTTGTCATTATCGGGGGAAAAATCAGTCGTAAATTCAGTGTAGAAGTTATATACTAACAAAGTATGAAAAAAAACGTCCGTCAGCATTTGACTCAGTGATAAATTGCATTTGCTGACAAGGTCTTTGTACCGACCACAGAACTTACGAAATGATGATTTTCAACGAGACTGCTGATACTCTTGTTTCATAAACTTATTTGTCAGTTTTTTACCTCGTTTTAGAAATTCTTCATACGTAAAACATGTTCTTGTGTATCGAATAAACTGAGGAGATATTAACTCCGTAGGCAGGTGATGAAGGTATAGTGCTGCATATGTAAGAGAAGTTGACGATAGAAAAGTTGAACATAGAGCTTGGTTGGTAGATAACCATTAACGTTTTTTAAAATAATATATCCAAGTATGAAAAAGATGCGTCTGACTTTGTGATATCCTTTATCTCAAGCTCTCAAGGATATATCATATTGACATAGGAATGGAAACTACCAAAATTGTTAATTTATAATATTAATCGATATATCTATATATGGAGTTGAAGGCCGCTGCAAGTGTTTTCTTCTTTTCACGCACTTCTAAGTAGTAAAAATTTAAAAATAATTAGATTTCAGATGCACATTTTCAATATGGTCTGTAAGAAATCATGTATTTTTCATTTTGGTTAAATTTAACCGTTTTTTAAACCATTGTACACAATAAAATATATTTATGTTTTTGCGCATGTGCAATGTAGCCTTGTCAATGACAGAGTCATGAGAATTTTCGAATCATGTACGACTAGATTTACGCCACTTTGTGAAACGTAAATTACACCCGACTTAATTTTCGCGTAGTGTCTGGAAGTACACCTACATGTACATGTAAGTAAAGGCTTAGAATTTCGTTTTTTTTAAGAAACGGATTACTGGATCGGAAAAGTTTACGCCTTTTCAGAAACTTTAAAGGGGTTTATAAGGTGTTATATAACTGCCCCAACCTACCTTGGGTAACTATATTATATTTATTCCTTAAGTGTAATATTTGAGGTGCTGAATTACAAGATTTGAAAGCGTTATGAAATACATTATTGTGAAGCATAGAGGCAGAACGTAATAAATTATAATGTGGCTCAGAGAAATGGGGTATTTTTTGTTGATATCTTAAAATCTTGTCGCAATATAGCTATTGATAGTTAAAAATATTCGAGATGAAAGGGTGTAGTGCTAGGAAGGATTTTTGATTGTAAAATTAATACAGCACTGTATATAACTAAGCCGAGAAGGAAAACGCAGGTTTTATAAATGTATAAGGAAAATGAAAAAGCAATGACAGATCTACAAATACAAAAAATGCAATACCATAGTTCATGTACACATTGATTTTGAATTAATACGCTAAAACACAATATAGTTTAAAAACGTTTTTTTTTTTCAAAAGTATGGAAAATACTTGAGCTTATAACGTGGACATAATAAATAAATTACAAAAAAAAAAATAGACAAAGTACATTTACCTTTCAAGTGCTGACAACGGGGCACCTGGTAAATCGTAAGAGTAAATTTCCCGCAATGACAGGAATGGGCCCGTGCCTTAGTATTTATAGAAAAAAAGCGGTTAAACAAGGGGGTACAGATGCACTGCCAAATGAAATGTTATGTGTAGAATCCATGAATGGAGGCTACTACCAAATATGACATAAAGTTGAATAACGGCCTAGCTAGTAATTAAGAAAAATAATATAAGAAAGGATGAAATAAACATTACCCTGGCCACCTATAGATTCCTTATCTTTCGCGAGCACTTATGACTGCGAAAGGACTCTTTAACGTTGAATCGCGAGAATTATAATTTGCTAATGGACGGTTTATCTTTACATTTTACATTGATTTTAGCACCATGAGAATAAAAGCGAGTAATTTTATTCCAACATTGATATGCTTCTCTCAAAATCATTAATTTCTAGTGTACATATAGGAATCTATAGTACGAGGGGCTATCACAAATTTCGTGGATTAAGGCTATAAAATTAGTACTATGTAGTCTGTGATTTCAAAAATTATATGGAAAACAAACAACAAACAGTAAAGAAGTTTAGAAAATTTTTAGTTTGATACGTTCATATTTGCCAAATTACTTTTAAATAAAAACAACATTACATGATCACCCGGCGCTGTCGGTCCACGTTCGACAACGTCATTGTTTTTCAATGTCGACTTAAGGTAGGATTCTTCTCTGGATTCTGACTACATGAAATATTCAAAGTATATTTGTTGATATGTGTAATATTTTTAGATGTAAGAGATTTAAGTACAGGTTCACGTAAGAATCATGAATAGGATATGGCAAGTTTTGCAATTTTATCAAAATATCATAAAAATGGCAACCTTTCCAACTTTATTTTAATTCAAGCTTTATATGAAATAAAAGACAAACAATAGAAACACACATGCCATGAATCTCAAACTTGACAAATTATGGTTACCATAGCAACGAACAATTTAATTTTGCCACATTTCTAAATATTTCAAAAAGTGTTCTTGCTTTCCTTTGCTAATTAGCATGAATTTCACAATTTGACTTAAATAATTACTAATATTATGCCAGATCTCTTTCATTTATAAACATATGAGTCTTTCAAGCAATTGGGAAACTTTATGAACTGCACCACTTGGACAGATTAAATTACAAATTACCAGACAAACATGTCAGTCATCAGCCTATTAGAAAAGTTCAGTCTGAACCTTGAACTGCAAAACTATTTATTACAATTCAATTTTTATAACATATTTCGATTAAAAATTTTTATTTGTTCAACACTCAATATAAAAAACTGCTCAAAATTCATAAAGAAGCAAGATTAATGAGGGACTATTTCTTGAAATGGAAGGATATTATAAGCAGAAAATTCTGCAAATCTACAAATTTATTAAATTCAATATCCTGGAACTTTAGCCTCACATATTTATACTCAGTGAATATTTTCTATTATTACATTATAGGAATTTTTTTAGGTCTCAATATATATACATTTTTAAACAAATTTTACACTTTACACTGAACAATCTTTACCAAAAATATGAAGATAATTTATAAAAGTCAATATAACATTTAACTTTTTGCTCAAAAATTGCATATTTTGACCAATATTTCAAATTTAACATCACTGATCCCAACTTTTTCTTTCATAATTTTAGATTACTCAATACTTTTGACAGATCAGTTTGAAACAAGGAAATATTTTCATACCATTTTATTAGAGTTTTTATATTCCAAGTAAGATCCTTTTTAGTGCAAAAAGGTCACACAAATATTGTATTAGTTTGCATGATTTGTTCAATGGTGAATATTATTCGAACTATTTTACGTAAATATTATCATACTCATTGGCATCTGATAAAATATGATAAAAGTTAAAGTGATTAACCAAAGATTAACAATTTAAGTGCAACAAGAGGCCCAGGGGCCACATCGCTCACCTGAGCTCTGGCTATGTAAAACTAAAAGCAAAAATCAGTTTAGTATTGAAAAAGTTAAATATTAAAGTGGGTTCAAGTGGGATCATGATTTGAACAACCTTGAATCTACACCACTTAAGGATGCTTCCATATAACTATGATCAATTATGTTTGTCGTTCTTGAGAAGATTTTAAAATATTTTCTATGTATTCCTATGTTAAACGTTGAACCCTGACCCCCCATCATGGCCCCACCCTACCCCTGGGGTCATGATTTAAACAAATTGAAATTTGCACTATCTGAGGATGCTTCCACATGAATTTCACCTTTCCTGGACCAGTGTTCCTTGAGAAGAAGATTTTTAAAACATGTCATTACTTTTTCATTAATTCATAAGCATCTCCCCTTGGAAGAGGGCATGGCCCTTCATTTGAAGAAACTTGAATCCCCTTTACCTAAGAATACTTTGTGGCAAGTTTAGTTGTTACTGGCCCTGTGGTTCTTGAGAAGTAGATGAAAATGTGACAAGTTTACAATGCCGACGACAAACAACGGACAAATTTTGTTCAGAATAGCTCACTTGAGCCTTTGGCTCAATTGAGCTAAAAATAGTCATCTTAATTGTATCTTAGCTCAGCAAGATGCACACTGACCCCTTATGTTCTCTGCGATTTTGAGTCATACTAAATGAGTACTTATCCAAAAGAAACTTCTCAAAAAATCATTTGTATTACAAATTCCACCAATTAAACACCTTAAATTGGAAATTAAGTCTACAAAAATCTTATATCTAAAGCAATTTTGTCTTATAAAAAAATCTGATACTTTTCTTGCATAATTTTATAATAAAAAAAATTGAATCACAAAAGAAAAGTAATTCTCTAGTTGCTTAAACTTTTATAATAATGTACTATTTTGAGATTATTTTTTTTTTTTGCTACTTTATACATTAGCAATATGTGATATTTTTATAATTAAATATTAGTTTCTATACAATATATCAATGCCAACAATGTACCAATGTAACCTTCGCAAAAAAAAACCCAAAACAAACATAAGTACTGTAGAGGGGGGAAATAACTCGCGGTGTTAATATTCACTATATTCACGGTGTTAACAAATCCGTGAATTCAAGAAACAGTGAATAAATTTTCAATAATCTCCATGTTTTATTTGGAAATTTGAGAATAGACTACGATAGATTTATATAGGTGTACGTGCAGTACATGGTCATTTAAGTAATTACGAGTAGGACTGTCATTCAATTAATTTTAATTATCACACTTTACTTTAATTCAAATCGGCAGATTATAATTTGTGTTTGTTCAAAAGCTGGTTTAATAGTCAACGCTACATGTTTCATCAATCAAAACACGTGGGCCATGGGTTTTGATTACCCGTGCGTAACTAATATTACCACGTGTATTTGTTACCTGCATTCTCAAGCATATTAGTTCATGTAGTTTTTATCGACATTTTGGTTTTAAAAAACCATTCAAATAAATATCGAACTTGCTGACGATGTGGATGGATATTATTTCGTAGAACTACAGCGACACATTTATTTCCGTCCAGTGGTTTTTTTTTGCCTCGTTGTATTGAAGATCTTGGGTGCACATGCACTCATCGTAATAGCATATAGGAAAGTCATTTGACGTTTAGGGACTATTAATAACTGCATTTGTGTTAATTAATCATTTATAAAATCTAACAATTTTATAATAACCTACCCTGTTGTTTGTGAAATAAAGACATAACGCTGATTAATGTCATTTACATGTAGCTATGTTATGGATTAAATGGAGACAAGGGAAGTAACTTTTATTACATACCAAACTCCGCAAATTCAAGAAATCGCGATCGTGTCAGATGAGAGAAAAACGTGAAAAAAAACTCGTGAAATTAATCCCCTATAATGTAATCAGAGATAAGAGAGCTCACCTAAACAAATATTTGCTTTTAAGTAAGACAAAGTCCCACATTAAAATAATAATCTATAAGTGTACATTGAAATCACTCATCTGGAAAATCAAGATGCAAGCCCGATAGTGTGCATTATAAGATAACTGTTACATCTAGAAAAAAAAATTAAATGCTTTAGAACATTTGTCGCACATAACAAGCATATTTATAATTATAAACATGAATGAAAACAAAAGCTAAACATGCTAAAGGGATTGTCTTCACTTGTCAGAAGATCAAAGAAAAAAATACATATTAGATACAATACTAGTATTACCAAAGTTTTTGTCTGCACACATCTTTTTAAATATGAATACCAAAATAATATCCAACAGAACAGGAATCTGGATAGCTGAATTGTGTGAGTGGCAAAGTGTCCCTTTCCTTATAAATTTACGAGGCCAAATTAATATTTTCAATCATTGCATCCTCCTCAATGGCTTCCAAAGCTGCCAGTAAATCTTTGTCATCAAAATCCTCTGTCACAGGTTTATTGTCATATCCCTTACTTGCCATTCTGGAGAAGAAAGAAGTTATGTGAGTTGTGCTCAACCATTCACTGACACTAAATAATTTGCTTCCATCATCATCATTAACAACCCTCATTTCTTCAGCAACTTCTGATGGAACTGCATTCCTCTTTTTTTTGCAATTTTCATATTTTTTCATCAAGTTGTCCTTCACTTTCTCCGGAAAACTTGAAATCTTCCTTGGTTTTCTAAGACCCCATCCCATAGGTTCAGCTTTAAGCTCCTTTTCAACACTTTCTTTAGAGGACAAAACATTTTTGCAGGTGATAACTACTTCACTACATACCTGAGCCCACTGAAGCTTTATTTGGTCGAATGTAGACTTTTTGTCTAGTTTCATTTGGTATTTACCACAAAACAAATGAGTTTCTAACCCTCTGTATGTTGAATACTTCTTGGTACAGCCAGCCAACTTCTGGACAATAAAATAATGCCACTTCAGGATCTTCAGCAGTTTCTCTCTCAGCGTTATTTCCATGATCAGAAATTTCTAAACCATATGAATTTTCCTTGGATTTAGTTCTGATTTCTCCCTTCTACATAACAGGGGTAACAAAAGGTTCCAACATCAAGAATCCAGACGTGTGTTCCTCATGTTTAGAACTGGTAAA